CCCTACCTGCATTCTCTCATTTAATCCTCTTAACAACTACATGAAGGACAGTTATTACCCCCATTTTAATACCTGGAAGAGAATAAACTTGTTCAAAGACCCAGGTCTCTTTGACTCCAACCAGTATGACATAAGGCTATTAAGCCAGGAAAACGAAACTGTTTTTTTAAAGTTTTAATTGTTAGATTTTTAAGTAGCAATTAGCATTTAGGGCTCTCAAGTAAGATATCCAGTAAGGATCTCCTTAGTCTCTGCATATAAGACAAACGATGTCCAGAATTATTTGAAAGTATAGAGAAAACGAAAGAAAGCAAGTGGCAGGAGCTTTGTTTCTCTCAATAATGTCACTTGCTCTATTCAGCCTTTTTTACTCCCAAAAAGCTGAAGAACTGCTCTTTATCTAGGGAATCAGTTTAATCCTTTTCTTCCAGTAGTCTTTGGAAGGCATCACTGTTGTAAAAGGAAAGTCCTTGGTCTAATTTTTTTTTTCTCTTTATGGGGAACTTACTCTTTCTGACTGGAAAACTTCAGGATTTCTATATGCCTTCCTCAGTGTGTATTTTCTCATCAATACACCACAGAACTCCATGAGCATTTTCAAGCTCAGGACTTGAGTTTTTCTCTACTTATCATTTGTTTAATTATTATTGATCTCTTCCATCAGTTATTTTTCTCTTTTTTTTCCTTCTGGAATGCCTATCACATGTAAGGTTTTAAAATAAGTTGACTTAACTGGGTTTACTTACCCTTTTTTTCATGATTCCCCTATGCTACCATTTTCTTCAGTACTGAGGGATAATTCTCACATATGATCTTCCAGGCTACTAATATGGTCTTTCTTTAATTCATCTATTGAACTTTTTATCTTAGAAAAAAATTAAATTTTTTTTTGGTCCCAGGAAGTTTCTCCCATACTACACTTCAATCTCCCTGAGGGATCTTTTTATTTTTATTTTTTCACTCAGGTGTTTATCTAACCAGTGGATATGGATTCTGATTGTTCATTCAGAAGAATCTCTTCGGCTAAGAAAGCTTGCTGTTCTTCATTTGGCTTACTGGGCATCAGGTCTGATGTTGGCGTACTCCAAACAGTGAGAATCCTACTCACTGTTACAAGACCATGCACCTCTATGATCTTTGGAATTGTTTGCTGAGGAACCCAGAAGTCTCCAAAGGGAACATGCTCTGTCCCCTTCTCCCTTGAGAACCACAGAGTATAAGGAGAGAAGGGAGTGTGAGATACATGCAGATAGAGTGAAGGCAGTGGGAAGTATATATAAAGAGTCAAGAGATTTCTTTGCTACTTTAGAGGCCTCATACTAGAACTTCCACTTAGCTACCTTCTCAAGATCTCTCTATCAGTTATATTCATTTGGAAATAACAGAAACCCATTGTGCCTACCTTAAACTGAACCTACACGAAGGTGGAGGACCAACTTTAGAAAACTACAGAGCAAGTAGAAGGAAGTACAACTGTCTTTTAGTAAGAACATTATGGCTGGGCCACTGCCAACAATGCAGCAAAAAACTGCTGCTAAAGAGGCCAGCCCAGTGGCATTGTGACTAAGTTTATGCACTCTGCTTCAGTGGCCCAGAGTTCACGGGTTCAATTCCTGGGCACAGACCCAGAACCGCTCGTCAAGCCATGCTGCGGCAGCATCCAAAATAAAACAGAGGAAGACTGGCACAGTTGTCAGCTTAGCGACAATCTTCCTCAAGCAAAAAGAGGAAGACTGGCAATAGATGTTAGCTCAGGGCCAATCTTCCTCACAAAGGGGAAAAAAGAAAAAACCCTGCTGTTATGAGTGATTCCTTAATATCTTTAAGACTTTGTACTCAAAATTCTACATTATAGAAGGGGGGCTCTGATTAACCAAACCAAGACCATCCCTGACTGCCATGGGGTAAAATGAAGGAAAGTCTGACTCCAGGAGCTTCAGTGTTCCTCCCCATAATAACCATAATTTTAAATCTCCAAAATCAGAAAAGGAGTTGGACACTAGTTAGACAAAATTTAAAAAGGAAAAGAAGAAAAAACATGGCAAATGTCCATTATGACTCCCAGATCTTTTATAAGTCGTCTTTGTGAAAGATGAGTCTACCATTTGCTTTTAAAATGGAATTTCAAAGCACTAACACTTGGATAGTCTCAAAAAATCATATGACAAATGGAGAAAAGAAGACATCATTTATTTTAATTTTATGGAGACTTTAAATCTGGGAGTAGGAAGAGGTAGGGGAAAATGAATAAGTTCTAAGGGCAGAAAAAGTGCTGATTTCTAAAGTAAAGCAGATTTGTTAAACACAATATAAAAATTTGATCATCAATATTACTATAATGAACTCCATAACCTGTCTTAAGTAGTTGGTTTTAATTATACAAGCATTTAAAGTTGATTTTTTTAATAATCTCAGGCTGTTTTGTTCTTTTTTTAATGCTAAATAGCATCTATGAAAGAAACACATGGGTTAGACTTTTAAATTGGCATTTTAAAAAAATGTCAATAAAGGGCAAATAGGAGAAACCAGGAAGTCTACTTCACATAGTAGTCATAATTCATGTTGAGATCTTAGCAATAATAACAACAGTAATTAATAATAGCAATCAATATTTATTTAATGTTTGCCACACCAGGTACTCTAACTACGTCACATGTATTATCATGCTAATCTTCCCAAGAACCCTGTGAAGTATGGATATAGTATTCCCATTTCACATACAACGAAACACAGAGGTTAAGTAAGTAGCCCCTGATCTCACAGACAGCTGGTAACTGGGGGGGGGGGTCAAGACAAAAGCCCAGAGCATACGCTTTGCAGCCGCCTGCCCTGCTGCCTCCCTTATGGCAGTGGTACTGTGGCTTGGCTCTACCTCTATAAATATCAAATGTATTCACTATTCTGTTTCACATATAGAGATGTGATTAATCCAAAAACAAGGAGGCCAGCATTTCATCATCTAGGCAAAAATATTTTAAAAATTAAGTTTGTACAGTAATCTCTCACAACTATCAGATTCAAGCAAAAAGAAAAACATAATAATAAGCCTTCCAATTCTTTCACCCAGTTGTCCCAAAGTGGAAATTTGCCTAATAGAACAGAATTCCATAACTACACTCAAATTCAGAAAGATGATACATAAGCTACCGGAGGTTTCAGTATATCTGAGAATAAATCTCCTAATAGCTCCTGAAAGCTAATTAAGGTGCAGAAGGGTCTACAACCAATCTTGTTTCCCATTATAACTATGTTACATACTTTAATAGCAGCTGTATCCTCAATTATATTTTGATTATAGTTTCAAAGGTGTCCTTCTCCTTCCCTCAACTTTTATAAGGCACAAGAACTTAAAAACAAGGAAACCAATATGTGCCAAAGGCTACCGAGTACTGCAGGACTGGGGAACCGCGGGGACTTATTGCTTAAAACTTCAAGTCCTACATCCAGTCCTTTATTTCAAGAGAACTTAGATAAAAGCAGCATTTTCAGTATGTACATTTGGAAGCTGGATTAGGAGGAGGAGGAGAGGAATATTAATTTCAATAAGATATTAAAAGCACCTATGGAATAAAAAATTCAGAGAGATACAGGTATGAAAACAGAACACTGAAGCCTAGAAAGGATAATATTTCAAGAAGGTGAAAGCTGTATAAAATTCTAAGACTAATAACAGAAAACTCCAATGGATGTGACAACAAGGTGAAGCAAGAAGGGATAAAGGTGGGGAAGCTGAAAGTCTAGAAGATTTGGTAAGAATACATATCAAGGTCAATAATATTCATCACATAGTATTTATTACAAGGAACTTAAGAGGTTTGGTGGTCAGAGAATATAAGTTAACGTTTTTTAGGGTAGTTTTATGTAATAACTTAGTCCAGGATGTTTTAGTAAAGACTTAGGAGGAAATGGGAGAATCAACCGAAAATGGAAGATCTCAAAGATCAAAAAGGACAGGATACCCAAAGGGTCATGTCAATGGATGCTGAAGTGACGAAAGATAATGATAGACAAGGTGATAAAGAAGTTATATGTCAGGCCTTGCAATAATCTGAGGAAAACTGAAAAATATCTTGGAGGCTAGAATAGATGGCTATTAAGAGACAGAACATCTTAACGGCACCACCACTACATCTTTAAAAATGACATATATTTGAGTTTTAGCACAAAGATAACTGTTTAAACTGAAATGGATGTCATCCAGGAAGACAATAATTATGTAAATCAACCTGCCACAAACATCCACTATCTTGAGTAACACTCAAAAAAATTAGGCTTGTCCTCTAGAAGCTTGTGTTAGATTTCAAAATGAAAGATTTTGTACAATAAAGCAAAATCTAAAAAATACAGAGATATATAAAAGAGAAAGAAATGCTGATTGAATAAATTTCATACAATCTAAATACTTAAAATGGTTGAACAGTTCAATTTTGTTCGAAATTGCTTTTCCTCTAGACTATGGCACATTTTGAAATTAAGCTTTGAGCCACTTACTCAAAGCGCCCCAGTCCTCACAAAAGTATCAGTCTCCAATTCTAGCAACAGAAAGAAAAAGGCTTTGCCTTAGAATTAGATGACTTTTCTTGAATCGACCTAAAGCATCCAAATATGTCATCCAATTCAGTAAGACCCTGTACTTTATAATGGCTCTCATTTAGGCCAGGATGGAAAATTTGCGGTCTTTTAAAGAGACTGTAAATTAACTAAATTTGATAACGGCAATCCATCAAAATTTAGTTCCATACCAGGCGGCATTTGACTTGCATTTGGAGAGTTAATTTTGTGAGTCTTGTTCTTGACCCACTTTAGATTACCATCTTTCTACCTTCCTTTTGATGGAAAAGAACTGCTTCTAAGAATAAGAAGTAATAAAGCCTTCTTTATTTATTCTGAGAGAACGCTATCTCCACTGCAATATAAGACAAGAGAGAATAGTGAACCTTTGTTTAACATTTTATCCCTGTCAGGTTGATCTTACAATGTAGATATCAAATAATACTTACCAATACATACATCGATTTTCCCTTTAATAGCAGCTTCATGCAGAGGGGTATAGTTCCAGTTATCCCTGGCATTCGGATCGGCTCCTTGGCACAGTAACAGACTCACAACTTCAGCATGGCCAAAAGAACAGGCATTATGAAGTGGGATGAGACCGCCATCGTCACGAGCATGAACATTAGCACCCATCTGTAGTAAGTGTTCTACAACATCCTTCCTTCCAAAACCTAAAAAAGGAAACAACGAAAATATCTTATACATTCAATCAATTTTGTAAAAAGAATCATTAGAATTCCTTTAACAATATCAACAAAAATGAACAACTCAAGTACTGTATTCTATAGCAAAAAAGGCAAAAAAAAAAAAAAATTGGCTGCCATTCAAATGGATTCTCTTATCTCACGTAACTTAGAACTAAGACACCCCTTCCTTTAGTCTTTGGGCAGTGCATTCAAAAAACATTTCTTCAACACTTATTATGTGCTGGGCAACTGTGCTAGAAATACAAAATGAATCAGACAAGACTCTAGTCCAAGGCATTCACTTTCCTTTCATGCTTCACAAGACAAAACTGTATGCACAAAATCCATCTCTACATTTCAAGAGAGAAAGATTATTCAAATAATCAAATAATTTGCTGACAACCAAATCAAAACAAATCACAACACTCAACATTACACGAGGGAAGTTGGAGAGGAATGTATAGATTTCAGAAATATGTGGTGATGGTTTGGTTACAAGAAATTTGAGGGGCTGGCCCTGTGGCCGAGTGGTTAAGTTCACATGCTCCGCTGCGGCGGCCCAGGGTTTCGCTGCTTCGGATCCTGGGCACAGACATGGCACCGTTCATTCGGCTACATTGAGGTGGCATCCCATATGCCACAACTAGAAGGACCCACAACTAGGATGTACAGCTGTGTACTTGGGGGATTTGGGGAGAAAAAGCAGGAAAAAAAGAAGAAGATTGGCAACAGTTGTTAGCTCAGGTGCCAATCTTTAAAAAAAAAAGATATTTGAAAAGGAAGAACTAAAGATAGTGCCAAAATATCTACTGTTGGGACTGGTGGCCAAACTAAATGAAATGTGTAGTTAAGTGAAACAATTCAAGCTTGAGATTTATTGAGTTTGAGGAAACGATATGACAAGCAAGCAGGAATACAGGCCTTTAGAAATATAGAACCAGAACACTGGTGAGAAATATCACAATTTTCAGACAGAAAAAGGAGGAGAAAAGAGCCAGAAAGCAGTACAAGGACTTGGTAAACACTGAGAAAGGTAAGAAATACCAGGAAAGTACAACATTATGGAAGTCAAAGGGCGCTATACAAAGTCCGGCATGATGAAGATTTAGTGAGATCAATGAAGAAGGGAAAAAACAGCCACTGACAATTTTTAAGTAACTGTAGTACAGTGATGAAATTACAAGCTACATTGCAATGGGTTTAAAAAAAAACAAAAAGGAACTGCAAATATTAGCATTTTTATCCTTATCAGCTAATATTTTTATTAATGATTCTTTCTTCCTACTTTAAACTGTATTAGGTCTTATTCACCAGGTTTCAGTACCTCCATGCCATTACTTCCAGTGTAATGTTGTTAGAAAACGGTATGTGAAATAAAGCTAAAAAGTAAGGAGAGTCCTATCTTCCTCTATTTTATGCATATATAAACTAAATAAATGAGAACTATGTGGAAAATGGTGGGGGGGGGGGATGATTTATTTCACCATATGTCCTCCACACTATCTACAGAAATCCATTCATTCCAGGCAAGTAGGCGCTAAGAAGTCTCCAAAGGAAAAGACATGTTCCCACAGACACACATTACAAAGTCAGAATTAGGTTTCCATAGAAAATGTCCTTCAAATTAAGCAGAAAATTCGAGGTACAAAGAGGTCAATTTTGTATTAGTAACTGGAACACTAAAAGTACAGGGTAAGTGCTAACATAACTATCACCATCTTGCTGTTTGTTTGTTTTTAATTATCTGCAGGACCTTATGGACGTTAGGTTCTGCTCCCTTCTCTAACTTCAATGTCCTTCTTCCCCTAACACAACCCATTCTTTACTGGGCCATAGGCACTTTCTCTACCCAAGATGATTTCACAACTTTCCTTCTTCAAGGTGATCTGAGCAAAGCCTGAGGGCAAAATCACATTTCCCTAAGCAATGCATTAACAAAGTCTGAGAAGTAATATTCTTTCTTCATCAATAAACAAAGGTAAAATGACATACTTTTTAATTTATCAACAGGCATTTTTTAAAATATTCATTATAACTTTGAAGCAAAATAGCAAAGAGTATATTTACTTTTTACTAAAACTTTTAGATCTTAAACATAAAACAAAATAAAAAATAAAATAAAACAAAAATGCTGGATATCAGTGAAAACGTGGTGAAATGGAATTGCGCTCACACACTGAGAATGAGAGTGTAAACTGGTACTACGTTTTAGGAAAAAACATAGTGTTACCATCAATAGGCTTAAACAAATATACTGTCTGACTGAACATCACATTTCAAACTTTATCATTAAAAAAGTATTCATATATGAACAAAGATTTTGCACCAAGGATGTTTATGATAGTATTATTTATAGAAAATCACAGAAGTAATTTAGATGTCCAACAATAAAGGCTCTGTAAAACAAATGATGGTTTTGCATATAATACAACACCATCCTATATTAAAAGGATGCTATAGAGCATTGCAAATGTACTTAATGCTATTGAATTACACACTTGAAAATGGCTAAAATGGTAAATTCTATTTTTAAACAAAATTTTTACATTTAGAATTTGTATATTTTACCACAATTTTAAAAATCACCAAAAAAGGTATAAACCATATAGACATGTTTTAAGTAAACTTTATATACACTTTTCTAAATTACAGTAGTTTAAATAGTAGTTTAATTTGTTTTGTGGATAACAAAACCTCTGACAATATATTTTAATAATTCAAAATCATATTAGAAGAGAAGATTTTGTAACTACCACATAAAATGTCTTTACTGATTTTGACTGTTCACCCATACCTCCTTTTATAAACATCTATGTGTATGTGCATAAATATACTTTATAAAAAATTGTGTTTTTATATGATAATTAAGAAAACAGATAAATGAAAAGAAGAAAAGAAAAATTCCATAATCCTACTACCTGGTGATTTAGTCTCTGCTCTACATATGTCTATATTTCAAATATATATATTTCTTCTATATTTTGTTTTATATATTTTTAATCTAAAAGACTGATTATCTAAAGAATACCTTTCCAGGTTGTTGAATTTTCTGTAATATCCTGTTTTTTCTTGTCTATATAGACTCTACTTGTTCTACCGAGTATAAACCATAATTCATCATTCACCACTAGCAATGTTAAATGCCTATGCGTTATTATTCACACATAAAGAGAATTTATTCTCTCTGACAGTCATATAAGAACTTTGTTCCAAAACAAAGCTTGCAATCATAATTCTCTCTATAATTGATTTGCTTATTTGGGTCTGAAAACAAAAATATAAATAATAACTAGGGTCAGTTCAAAGAACTACATAGAATTTGAAGCAACTTATTACTAACCGACTCTTAGGGAAACAGCCCCCAAGTCAGAGCATTACAGACACATACTGCAGACAAGATTTTCAGTGCCCCATTCCATCAAGCTAGCACATGTTTAAAAAAATAGCTAAGTCACAATTTTTTAAAGGAATAATGTTACTACTTATACATATATTTATGGCTCAGTATCAAGTACTTATACATATATTTATGACTCTCTTAAGTACAAAAGGAAAACCAATGAACCATCTCTCTCTGATCCAGCAAAGGTCACTAAAAATTAAGAGAGTGCATACACTGTGATTTTTACCAACACACAGTATGTTCTAACAGACGTCCAATCTGAGTCATACAAGAGGTATAATTTAACGTTTAAAGTAACATGCTTTTTGCTCAAGGTACATGCCCTATTCTTGACAATAAAAATAACAGTAATAATGGTAAGTAGCGAACATTTAGTAAGCTCTGATGTGTGTCAAGAAGTATGCCAAATGCTTGGCATGTATTGGCTGCTTGTGATAACACCCTGTGAGAGATGCCATTATCCTTGTTTTATTGTTGAGGAATTCTTTCCCTCAGGTCTGATATTCATGAACGGTATTTCCAAATACACATCTTAAATCTGTCTACGTCCCAGCGCTACCAGCTCTGATTACAGTTTCAAGTCCCGCAATGTCTTGCCTAGACTTCAGCATATAACCTTCTAACCGGTCTCTCTGTTGTCACATCTGCTGCCCTACGATTCATCCTTAACGCAGTAGGCAGAGTGATCTTTTGATGGCATATATCAGATTTAGTAGTTTCCCTGCTTAAAACCCTGCAATATGTCCCCATAACACATATAATAAAATATTACTACAAACTCCTTATGACCTACAAACCTTTATGTGAGCTGGCCCCTCCTGCCTCTCCTTTCTCTCTGAGTTTTCCTCATCCTGTCTTCCACTTTCTGTTCCCGAATTTGAGAAAACTCATTTCAGCCTAGGGGATTTTGCACTTGCTGTGTGCTCTGCCTGAGACGTGGGACCCAGATCTTCACATGCCTAGCTCCTTCCGTCATCCAACGCACAGCCCAAAGATAAGCAACTCAGAGAGACTGACTGACAGCTCAATTTAAAGTCACCCACACAGGCACACATACTCTTCCAGATTCCTTTTCAATATCAGTTTTACTTTCCTTCTGCACTTAATCACTGAAAGTGCCTTGTTCATGTATTTGTTTACTTGCCTTGCTGTCTCTCCCTACTGAAGGTGTTACATGGAAAGAGGGACCCTGACTGTCCTATGAGCTGAATGTCTCTCCAGCACCTAGAATAGCGCCTGATACTCAGCATGGCCTCAGGAAAATATCTGTTGACTACATGGACATACACGTTTACTTATTTCATGGTAATTAGACCAAAATAGTAAGTAAGCAGTTTTTAATTTTATATTTTTAATTTACAAAAGAAAAACAGATTTAAAGGTTTTTCTGACTATGAAAGTACCAGATATATTCTAAAATACATAAACAAAACACCAAGTTTTCATGAAGGAAAATCATCTGTAATGTCACCATCCAGAGATAACCACCACGAACATTTTGATGAATAAACTTCCAGATTTCTTTCTTTGCAAATGTATGTGTCTGTGTGTTTTAAAAGATGACTTGTTTTTCTGTCTTAAT